CGGACCGCGAAAACATCGCTGGAGGGGTAAGTTTTGGCGCCTGTTGGAACGCATTAAACTAAGTTTAATACGTTCCAATAGGCTTTTCCTGCCCCGTACAGCGATGTTTTCGCATAGCGAAGGTTAATCTGGAACGGATTAACCTCGCTATGCGGGGCACCACTGTATCTGTTCAAATCCGCCCCCTCCAAGGGTACCCCTATCCCAGCTGCCCCTTACCTTACCCTACCTTTATAAAGAAAATAAAAAATACAAATTAAATAATAATAATAAGATTTCTCTGTAGGGATAGAATCCTGGAAATGCATTCTGTTGATGCACCTTTCTCAACACCAATTCTGCAAGGTCTCTCTTCAGTCCCAATGAATGAGTGTTGTACATACCCTGAAAGGCAATAGAATACCCATTCTGTTTGAAACAAAGTGGATTTTGCAGTTTATTGTACTCAGAAAGGACGTGGTCTCTGCCCAATCCCTGGTTGTGAGGAATTGGATACCTTTATTTTTCCATGTACTTTGGAAAATGCTGTAATCAGCTGTTCAAAGCTGAAATGGCCACCCAGAAAAACATTTGCGCTGCCTGAAGTAGGACTCCATTTATAATTATGTCCTCTTCACCCACTACATAATATTCATGAATTGGACTCAGCTGACTTTTTACCTAGTGCAAAACCCACAATGTAATCTCCAACTGCTTATAATAAGGATTGTATTGTTCCTTACCTTTCTTCTCTATGCTTTTTCAGCAGCCTCTGTCTTTTGCTTAAGGCAGGAGATGGACTTCTGAGCTACAGCCAGCTTTGTGTTTGCAGAAATGGAGACCCAACACATATGCTACATATAATTTTGATAACCTCCGCACCTCATACTAGTGACTCATTCGATCTGGAATCTTAGAATTGAGTCCAACTTCAAATTTAACGGGCACAGCATCTGGCCAAATGTTGGGACCTCCACCCCTTTTCATACCCCCTAATGTGAAGAGCTCCTCAAGGGTTTGCATACTTTCTGTGCATTCCATCTGGTCTTAATAAAGCTGTTGATATGTCAATTTTGGTTTGGCTTTGATCTTATATAGCAACAAGATCAATTTTGCAGCCGAATCCACAGACTGTACTACTGGGTCACTGTACAGCAAGACTAGGCAAAATATCTCAATCAGCCAGTGCCCTGAAAGGACAGGGGCTGCGCATATGTGCATCCATGCAAACACTATGCTTCTCAACCATTTTATGTTCCACAGGTTGAAACATTGTCTACTTTGTATCCTGAGATCAGAATAAAATGTGGAGGGGGGAATCATATCTCCTTAAGAGCCAGTGTGGTTGTTGCAGATAAAGTAACGGACTTACACCCACAACAAAAACACACTGATCACCATAATCACCCATCTCCTGAAAAGGACAAAAGCTGACCCCCACAATTATAAATACTCCAACTCCCAAACAAACTGCACCAGAGCACAGAGTGCTCCTCCTGTTCTCTGAAGACGCCGGACACAGAGACTGGCAAAACGTTAGGAAGAACAATCCTCAGAACACGGCCAAAGAGCCCGAAAAACCCACAACAACCATAACGGACTAGGACTTGGGCAATTTGGGTTTGAATCACCACTCAGCCTTGAAAATACATGTGGGACAGTGGCAGTGCGAAAACTACTCCTGAAATATCTCTCATACCTTGTAAACCTTATTAAGGTAATTATAAGGCTGATGTGACTTGATGGCACATAAAATACCTCTTTCCTCCCAAGAATAAAATGAAAATAAATCCTGATCCAGAGTGCTGTGTCCTTGCTGCCTTCTGCAAATACCATTGTGTTCCCCACCTCTCCATGTCCTCAGACAATGGTTGACCAGCTGGATAGTGGGAGGATGAGATTGGTAACTCCATGGCATTGTGGGTCACACAGTTGTTGTGGACAGAGGGCTATGGCTTGCTCCTGTCTGCTTTGAATATGATTTACAGGGCATATTTTGTTTTAAAAATATATAGATCATCATTTTATTTGTTCATGGCACTTTCAGACAGCCCACTGGCAAGAGTTCTCTGGCCACTCTATTAAAAGTCTCTAGTGCAACAACAAGACAAGAACACGATCACTTGTGAAGACAAGAGACTATAAAGCCAGCAGTAAGGGGATGGAAGACTTCCACCAAGTTAAGTTAAACTAAAAGTAAGATAAAAGTGCAAAGATCTAAAGGCACTGTAATGGTTCTGAAAAATACCTGGGTGATTTCCCCCCCACCCCCAAGCCTTCACCTGCCACAAACTCATTCACTAAAGAGATGCCAGCACAGGTGCTGTGCTAGAACCTCATTCCAACATACATTCAGTATATTTTTCCAGTGGCCCCATCCACAAACCATCTAGGATTTGAAAGGGCCGTAAGTAGGCATCCTTCAGTCTCAAGAGACGCAAACCATCTAGGATTTGAAAGGGCTGTGAGTAGGCATCCTTCGGTCTCAAGAGCCTATGGTAACGTCCTCTGTCTTGGAACAGTGTCTAGTGTGGCTGAGAAGGCCAATTCGAGAGTGACCATCCCTTCCACACTGAAGACAAATACAATCTGTCCCCTGTCCAGCTCCCTGATTTTGCTGGTTTCAGGACTGCCTCTTTGCCTTGGCCTGCTGGACAAGGGTCTTTTCGAATTGGGAGAGGCCATGTTGCCTCCAGACTGAACGCTCAGATGTCAAGGCTTCCCATACGTCTTGACTGAAATTCGGTGTCCCATTGGGATAAAATGATATTAATGAATAAAATTATTGATTCTCGTTAACATTCCTCTCCCTCCACGATCTCTTTGGTCCGTGTCTAGTAAACATGATTTGCTGAGCCAATCTACAGTGTTCATACAATCAGACGGGTCCTACCATTTACCTCAACAGGATCACCTCCTACAGCTCAGTTTACCAGTTTACTGTTTGTGCTTGAAGGAAAAAATTGTCTCAATATCTACTGTGACTTCTCTCTTTTTTTAAAAAAAATTGAAAATTGGCTTAAAGTATTAATACAAAAAGTAGGTAGCTGCATCTAATGATTTTTTTTTCCTGGAGTAATCTGAACCATCTGCCTCTGGATACTAAGGGCTTCACTGCCTTAATCCAGATTATGGCTGACTAACTGTTTTTGGCATAGAGTTTTCACTAGCACTGTGCCCTTCAAGAGCTGTCCAGGGCTGCTGAAAATTCAATTCAACGACTACTTTATTCTTTCCTTTTAAAGACTTACATTGTTTTTTTTCCTGTTTTTTTGTTTGTTTCACAAATTGTGAAAGGGAAACGTGTTCGAAGGCACAAGGAGAAGAAAATGGCTTTCCTAATGAAAAGTATGATAAGTAACCAGGTGAAAAATTTGGGGCTTGGTGGAGGGGGCGAAGAAAGCAAAGAGGAAGCTGCTCCGAGTGACCCAGCTGCCGCTGCAGGAATGACCCGGGAAGAATATGAGGAGTATCAAAAACAAGTGATCGAAGAGAAGTGAGTATACAGTACTTTCGCACCTTGTCTGTTTGTAGCTCATTCAGACTGTCTTAGTTCCCGAGGTTCCTTAGCCTAAGAAAGCTGCATTTAAAATATATAATGGTAAATATGTATTTACCATTCCCATGGTAAAATTGTTGTTGTTGTTTAGTCGTTGTGTCCGACTCTTCGTGACCCCATGGACCAGAGCATGCATGGTAAAATTACTGAATTTCAATTTACAAATTCCTAGGAGGGAAGGAAGGAGAGATATCTATAATATTCCACCTATTTCTTCAAAATAATAATGGTAACATCTGTGAGCTTCGTCTTTCACACTGCTCTAGCCAACCAAACACTGAAGAAACACTCTCTTTTTTTGTAAATATGGCAAGGTTTTGCCTTTGCTGACATTACTCGGGTAGTTTTAATTTAACTTATTCATGTTTTTTATTTCCTGTAAACAGAAATAAATTGTACAAACTTGGATTTGTTCCAAAGATATACAGGTTGGGTTAATACTCATGATTTCTAGACCTGCCTTTAAAAACACTAGATAGAAGGCTTAAAGTAATCTCCCTCTGCCTCTGAGATTCATTACAATTATGGAATAATGGAAGTGGCTTTAATGCTTTCTACGCAAAGGAGATCCAACTGACTTAAAAACAATAACTGCAAGCATTGTTATTTGTCCTTCACTTTTCCTTTGAATTTCACAATTGCTAAAATAAAGTCAAGTAGTTCTGAGGATGCAGGCTTTTTTTTTTTTAAGTCAATCGAATATTTATGTACCCATCGTACCAGTAAATTATTTATGTGATCATAAACAGTAAAATAAAAGGTTTAATAAAAGCATTACAACCAGGCACTATCAGAGCTAAAAAAAACAAAAAACAATAGAATTTCAAATCTCCAGTACATCATTTCACTAATGATCAATTACATAATGGTTGACTAAATCCCACATCTAAGATGATTATGGGTGAAAGGTTAATGACCTATGGAATTTAAGACAAGCCAGAGTTATATTTAGAAATAGCCATTTGGTGTGTGGACTTTAAATGTACAGACTCTTAAATGCAAATTTTAAAAACATTTAGCACTTATTAGAGTTTTAAGTCAAGAAATATCCAAGCAGCAGGATAGGGTGAAGAAGTGTCAACCTAGTTTGCTTATCACTGCTAAAACCTTTAAAACTGGGAATGAGAGAATGTTCTTTATATTTTGAGAATTATTTTCAAAAATGCATTTCAAATGAGGCTATATTCAAAGCTGAATTATGTTATGCCCTCTTAGCAGAAAACACAATTACCATGCTTTTCAGCATTTCAGTGAATTTTTTTATCCAGGACAACATATACTGTAGAAAGAAGCAACTCACACCTAAATGGGTGATTAAATCATCAAGCAAACTTGATAACAGATGCAATGTTTTCCCCTCCTTTATAACATCTCAGTTCTACAGATGAATTTTAGCTATGGTTGAATGACATATTAAAGGTCACACAGTAACTGAAATCCTGTTGGTGCAAATTTACACATTACAAGCTGGATGATGTCATCATTCAGTGACAGGTATTCTAAATTTAATCTAATTAAAAATGTCCTATTCCACATACCCCATTCAACTTCCAAGACTCCCTAGAGACCCCTTTTGCTCTTGGGAAGCCTTTGGGAGCCTTGTATTGCAGGGGAGCCTTTAATATTGGAAAATCATTGCTGGCAGTCCCACTGACAAATTTGGATAATCAGCCGTGAATCTGGCAGGGATGTTCAGATATTAAAGGCTCCCTTTCCCATGTCTTTCCAAATATCCATTGTCAGGTGATGGTATAACACAGCATGTGCAGTGTAAATTTACATCAAACAGATTTCAGCCAGTGACTCCTTTTTTCCACTTGTTTCTCCGCTTCCATATACTTAACCATATTGTCAGCATTCAGAGCATAGCAAGGTAGTCAAGCTGTCAGTAATAAAAACCCAAGGAGATAAACATGAGAAAAATCTCGTAATACTTAACCCTAAACCATGAGTGTTGCTTGGCCATTGAAGTGGCCGGATTATTTGGCATGCTACCGGGGAAAATTAAGTGACTGCCACGTCCATACATACTTGTGACTTCATTAACTGAGTTTCTATTAAAAGTACTTTGGTCTCTTGAGAACCGTCTGTACAGTTTGGTAGAGCTTGGAAAATTATATCTTTGTGCTCGCTACGACTTCCACAATCCCTAATTCTGCAAGTTAGAGTCAAAATTCTAACTTTTCCCAGATCTCAATAGTCACCTCTCTTCCTCAGCTATGCTAAAAAAAATATCGAGCAGTCCAGCCTTACGCGTTGCGCACTCAGGTGGGAAATATTTTTGGACTACCACACCCAGGAGGCCCCAGCAAGGATGTCCACAAGTCATGCTGGTTGGATTATTCTGTCCTTTGTAGATCAAAACAATAATCCCTGGAAATGTTCATAGTTCTAGGGTGGCTTTTCTGTCTTTACTGTATGGTAGCCATTGCATATTGCTAATGGATGGGAGTGATGGCCTCACCTATTCTTGTGCTTTGATTAGGATCTTGAGACACAATGTCAGCTTTTTCACAGGATGGAGATGTCGCATCACCTGCTAAAGTCTTAATATCCCACAACTGTGAAAAAGTGCAGCTGTGCCATGTGGTTGAAAATTGGGGAATCGTAATAGCAGGAGAGGGCACTGGGCGGTAGGGTCTTAGAAGCGTGGCTTATCAGAACAGAAGGGCCTAAATGCAATTGCTGGTCTCAACTAAAGCAGCCCCATGGAATTAAATGGTGAATGGTGAGTCCACTTTAAAAGTCCCATTGATTCAGAATATTCTAGCAATTAGATTTAGGCCTAGGACTATGAATTAGTTGTCTATGTTAAGTATAACCTTTGGGTCAGGACACAGAACCATTTTTTACTTCCTCGTTTTTTGTCTGTTTATAGGCTGCTATGTATAGTTCACAAGAGATATGGGTAGATTTGTGTTTTGGGAATACAGTGGCGCCCCACATAGTGACGATAATCCATTCTGAAAAAATCGGCGCTATCCGGATTCGTCGCTATGCGGGACTAAAAAGCCCATAGGAACACATTAAAACACGTTTAATGCGTTCCTATGGGGGAAAACTCACCGCTATGTGGAAATCCTCCATACGGCCACCATTTTCGCCGCCCGGTATGCGAGGAAACCGCGCGGAAACGCTGTGGGTGGCCATTTTTTCCAGCAGCCATTTTGGAACTGCCGATCAGCTGTTTTTAAAACATCACAATGCGAAGATCGGTAAGCAAAACGCTTACCGATCATTGCAATGTGATTTTTGGCCATTTAAAACGTCACAATGTGATCGCTTTTGCGATCGCAAAATTCACATCACTATGCGGATTCATCGTTAAACGGGGCACTCGTTAAGCGAGGCACCACTGTATAATTATAGCCAAAAGCAAGAATCTGCACATCGCTACATAAGAGTAACAAAGGAGAAGGCCAGATATAAATGAAGAGGCCTACCTTGTCTTTGGTTGTTGCAGAACCAGTGATCTCTAGGAAAGTTAGGAAAGGAAAATGGGGAGGCAGAATTTGAATTGTGGTGCTGGAGGAGGCTCTTGAGAGTCCCCTGGACTGCAAGGAGAACAAACCTATCTATTTTGAAGGAAATCAACCTTGAGTGCTCACTGGAAGGACTGATCCTGAAGCTGAGACTCCAATACTTTGGCCATCTGATGAGAAGAGAAGACTCACTGGAAAAGACCCTGATGTTGGGAACGGGGAGGTAGAATTTGAATTCTGGTGCTGGAGGAGGCTCTTGAGAGTCCCCTGGACTGCAAGGAGAACAAACCTATCTATTTTGAAGGAAATCAACCTTGAGTGCTCACTGGAAGGACTGATCCTGAAGCTGAGACTCCAATACTTTGGCCATCTGATGAGAAGAGAAGACTCACTGGAAAAGACCCTGATGTTGGGAAAGTGTGAAGGCAAGAGGAGTAGGGGACGACAGAGGACGAGATGGTTGGACAGCGTCACCGAAGCTACCAACATGAGTTTGACCCAACTCTGTGAGGCAGTGGAAGACAAGAGGGCTTGGTGTGCTCTGGTCCATGGAGTCACGAAGAGTCGGACACAACTAAACGACTAAACAACAACAAGACGTGCAGTGGGAGGATATATCTTATTAGCACTCACTTCAGAAAAGGGAGATCGGGGGGGGGGAGAGGACACTCTTGATCACACTTTTGTTAATCCTCTAGGTGACCACTTCTATTTTAAAGGAAAAGCAGCCCTTCTGCTTCCACTATCAATCGTGTTTCTGTGTTAAAGTAGAAAGCATTTTCTGGGTGCAAATGAAAGCCCAAGAGGAGGAGTTTTCAGTGAAAAGTCAGTGCAGAGTATTGATTCATATTGGATCGCAACTACAATTTGGCCTTGGGGCCTTAGAGAGCAGTTGCCAGAGTAAACATTACAGAGTAGATGGGCCAACAGTCTGACCTGGTGTAAGGCAGCTTGACCTTCCTGTAGTTCCTCCACAGCTCTTTGAGGTGCCACTTTCCAGTCACGTCCTAGCCGTGCACAGTTCACTTTCCCCCCCCATGTACTGCTGCTGTGAGCGCCAACCAAATATGCCAGAAGTGTGCACCTGTGTTTTTAACAGATGCAAATATCGGAGAAAGTTTCTCTGGGGGAGGGGGCAGCTTCTCTTATGGCTTCATCATTCCAGCGGGAAAGTTTGGCAGAGATGGCCAGAAAGCGAGAATTTGTACCTCCAGTGCCAAAATATGTACCTTGGGTTGGTGGGGTGTGATTTGTTACTCTCCTTCGAGCAGCAAAATATGCTAGATTGGTTCTGAACAAAGTCGCCTCTTTTTACTCAGTCACACTCTTTCTTTTGTATAACAGTGTTTGCCACGGCATTTCTACAGCAGTGACAATTCTGTTTTATCACTGCTCCTTTGGCCCAACATCGATTTGTCCAAGGAGAAACTCTAATGAAAAAAAAAACAGAGACAAAAGCTGTTTAAAGCCAGCAGCACATGGAGGGAGAGGAGTCTAAAATTAGAAGGAAACTGAGTATTCTGTCCCTGGAAAACCCTGGAAAGGGGCGCTGTAAATCCAAATTGATTTGATGACATATTATTATTATTAAACAAGGCCAGACCTGTTATTAGGCAGAGTGAGGCAGCTGCCTCAGGTAGCAGGTGCAACCGTGTGACTGCATTTTCTGACCTCTCTGCTTTCCTGGAGGATATCTCTGTGTGCCAGGTCTGTCCTCATCTCTAGATTCAGCCTGATTCCCTCAGGTGTGATGGTGGAAGATATTTCAATTCCCAGTATTCAATTGGAAGACCAGCAAGCATCTGGCCATACAACAACTGGAGAAGAAGATTTTCTTTAATGACTAACTGCCCGAGTTGAGTTTTTAAATGGATGGTTGTGCCTTCCTGCTTTGAAAGCATTTTTGGTGTTGCTTTTATTTACTGTCTTTTAGTGGTGATATCTGTTTGATCCTCTTTAATATTTGTATACTCACTGTTTTTTGTTTTTAATATTGTCTTTTAATGATGTACGCCATCTTGGGTCCTTCTTAAGGAGAAAGGCTGTGTAGAAATATTTTAAATAAATAAATTTAACCCCACAAAAGACTTGCTTTTCATCTGTTGATATGACTAATGCAGCAGTCTAAATTTTTGAACTCTCCTTATGGGGAGGGGTGGCTGTTGGGACTGTCATGATGAGCATCTGTGCTTCCAAATCATATGAAGGAGACTCGTGTCTCCTTCTTACAAATGTCACTGCCTCCAGTTTGCCTATGAATATCCAACACACTCCCAGAATTCATATCTGATGAATAAAGGAGGCCTTCTGGGTTAGACTAAACTTCTGACTTAGCTTCCTGTATTCCATTTCAGCCATGGAAAACCACTTGGCTTTGTCTGTGGAGTCCAAAGCACAAATAGCAGCCCCTCCATCACACATAGGCATGTTCTTTATATTCAGTATGCTATTTAGAGAGCCAAACTGCCTCTGCACATGGAAGCTCTGTTTAAGTATCATAGATAATAACCACTGACAGATCTGCTCTCTGCCAGGTTTACTGGAAAATCTTAACAAATCTTGTGTGGTTGCCTAAGGGTTGCCTTAGAAGATCTTTTTCTAGGGAGTGGGGAATCCAGAATTCTGGGAATGAATTCTGGCCATTCCCTGAACCTATCAGTTCTGGCTAACCAACAGACACCTGAACCTATCAGGTTGGTACTGACACACAGTAGTACCCTGTCTGACACACAGACTCCCACACCAGCTTCTTCTTCCCAGCTGCTGCTTCTTCTCCCAGCGTCTAAACTTCTCCACACACGCATCACATATATATACAGTACAGCCCCTCCTCCTGATGTCCCGCCTTCCACTCCCCATAGGATGGAACTTTCCCTCCAAACCCATGACAGACAGGTAACATCAGTGCTGTATGTAACAGGCAGTACAAAATGTGGCTTCTTCTTTATCTGAACGGCAGCCTCCAAGAAGGAGATTGAAAAGTAGAAAAGGCTTCTTAAACACTACGACCGCACTGGCAGTTCAAGCAGAGGAAGCCATAGAGACACCATCAAGCAGAATGGATGGAACCATCTGAGCACTGTAGCATACAGAAGGATTGTATCAATATATGTAATCGATACGATCCTTCGGTATATTGAAATGCTCTGACAATAATTATACATTTAGAGAGAGAGAGAAGTGTCTTGAGATACAGAGGTGGACAAGCAAGACTTTTTGCTGGCTACAGCAAAGGACTTGATGATTTGCTATGTTTGTTGTTTAGTCATTAAGTCATGTCCAACTCTTCATGACCCATGGACCAGAGCACGCCAGGCCCTTTTGTCTTCCACTACCTCCCGTCATTGGGTCAAATTCATGTTGGTAGCTTCGATGACACTGTCTAACCATCTCATCCTCTGTCGTCCCCTTCTCCTCTTGCCTTCACACTTTCCCAACATGAAGGTCTTTCCCAGGGAGTCTTCTCTTCTCATGAGATGGCCAAAGTACTGGAGCCTCAGATTCAGGATCTGTCCTTCCAGTGAGCACTCGGGGTTGATTTCCTTTAGAATTGATAGGTTAGTTCTCCTTGCAGTCCAGGGGACTCTCAAGAGCCTCCTCCAGCACCACAATTCAAAGGCATCAATTCTTCGGCGGTCTGCTTTCTTTATGGTCCAGTTCTCACTTCCATACATCACGACAGGAAAAACCATAGCTTTGACTATGCAGACATTTGTCGGCAAGGTGATGTCTCTGCTTTTTAAGATGCTGTCTAGGTTTGTCATCGCTTTCCATCGATTTGCCATTAGAGATGGACATTTACCACAGTGTGGCACTTCAGCAGAGTTTGGTGGATTAGGCTCACAGGTGTTGTGCATGCGACCTGGACTGTGTGTCCCATCTGCCCCTGCAGGCTCCCACTCAGAAGTTGAGGCAGAGCAAGGAGACCCTTGGCTCTGCTTCTGACAGGGCACCTGCAGGAGGACGCAGGGTGTGGAATCCAGGGTGCCCATGCCACCATGGGCCCAATCCACCAAAGTGCCAAACTGCGATAAGTGCCCATCTCTATTCACCACCTCTGACTTGAGAAAGTTATTTTTAAAACTACAGCTAGCAGCGAAAGTGGAATCAGACTGTTCTTGTTCTGTGCTGCTATGCAGAATAAGGAGGTAGGTTTGGCTCCAGAATTGAGGAGGTCTTAGTGAAGGCAACTCCTGGTTGGTCATACCTCCTATCTATCTAGGTGAGCTACCTCTGGCTTACTGGGAGGCAGCACTAGACAGATGGGTTTGAGCACTGGTTCTTAACCTTGGGTTACTCAGGAGTTTTGGACTGCAACTCCCAGAAGCCTTCACCACCTGCTGTGCTGACTGGGGTTTCTGGGAGTTGCAGTTCAAAAGCATCTGAGTAACAAAGGTTAAGAACCACTGGGTTTGAGAACCAGCATTCACATTATTTGAAAGACTGTGGAAGCTTGCCTAGGTTTTCAAATCAGCTGGTTCTTCTGATGGCCCTACTACCTTCAGAGGGCTGTCGAGGAGGGACCTGAGAGAGGGCCTAGCCTTCTCAGTGGCAGCACGCAGGCGGTGGAAGTCCTTGCTAAGAGAGGCTAGGTTTGAACCCTACCCACTTTCCTTCTGGCAACAGAGGAAGACCTGTTTATTGAGGCAGACCTTCAGCAATTAAAAGTCTGCAGTGATACAATCCGAGATAATGTGCTGGTTTTGACTGTTTTAAGGCAAATTATTATGACTTATTGGAATCAAGTGCTTTTAAAGAATTTTAATTTTAATTTCATTTTAGTTATGGAACTGGATTTAATTATATTTTAGTATTTGTGATTTTATTGTAGTTTAGCATTCTGTTATTTTAAACTGCTCTGATAGCCACCTTGGCTCCCAGTTCTGTGAAAAAGACAGCCTAGCAATGAAGCAATTAATGAATACTGTAATACATTTTCCACACAGCCTCTGATGAGGCATCATTCTGGGGATGTAAAATGGCTGATTTAGATAAAAATATTCTCAAAGGGAAGGGTAGGGCCAGGATAGAGGTTGGAAAATTGGGTATTCTGACAAAAATTCCCAGAATCCCCTTGCTGACTAGGAAATTCTGGGAACTGTAGTCTAAAATTCCAAGTTTCCCAAACTCCAGGCAGAGGGTCACTGGCAGCAGTCCAAAGATACCATGCAGTAATGTCAGTCTTGAGCCGAGAGTAGTAGTTCTGGGTGAACATCAAGAAAAATGTTTCCAGGAGAAACATTAAGCAGAGCCTGAAAGGGAATTTGTGGGGGACACGTGAGGCCTGTTTTTAATTTCTTAAGCTGACAGCTACACCGGATGCTCTGTGACACCTCTGTACAAACCTATGATGCCATGTTTTCTGCCTCATGCTACCTCTCGAGGTAGTTTGAAGCAAGCATGGTATATAGAAAGTACAGGATGCTCAATCCACGACTACAAAACATCCAATTTTTGCTTTCAGAATGGAACGGGATGCAGCCTTTGCACAAAAAAAGGCTGAAAGAGCCGTCCTGAGAGTTCACATGCGAGAAAAGTACAGACTCCCAAAGGTAAGACTCTTAAAAAAATAAAATGAAAATAAATTTCAAAAAGTAAGCTTTCTTATAACAGATTTGTTATTTATCTTCTGCTTCCTATCTTGAGGATCCCAAAATTCTGTCCAAAATTATAAAGATATGTCTCTCTTGGAAAACAAGAGAGAAAGAGAGAGAAAGAGAAAGCAGGAAAGGCAGAAATTTGAAATATTAACCAACAGGTCTCTGTGTATTTTTGTGTAGGTCCACATGCGCATAACGATGGTACTTTTTGAAAAACCTATCTATATAGTAAAAAAAACACATCAAGGCCAGACCTGCTACTAAGCACGATGAGGTACCTGCAAAAGATATATAGCAGAAGACAGCAAATGCTTCTTTAACTTTGCTTTTTTAGTTTTTTACTTCCAGCATTACTCTGTGGCAACAAAACTAAAAAAGAGCCCTTGAGATGTAATGGATTGTAGCTCACAGAATCAGATGCCTGCATCCCACACATACTTGGGTGGGAGAAGGATGTTGGGGAATATAAACTCAACAGGGACACACACTGATGCTCGTCTTAAAAGTTGATGTTTAACAAGCAATAGCCGAGACATTGGAAGGCCATCCAAGAATAAATAGATCAAGAGATTAAAACATGTATCATTAGTGACTGGGTTGGTTTTGTGACAGATCATTTGCAACAAAGCTCCACTTAAGACAGCAAAATAGGACAGGTTGGCTCAGCATTATGACACCTAAAATCTGGCATGGGCCATATGGAAGAAAAAATCTATAGGGTAGATGATGTGTGTGTGGTCTGTTTGTGTTCTTTCTTGAGATCTTCAGGAGAAAGTGTCCAGCAGTATTGGGGGGGGCTCATGCTTATTTTAGGCTAGGGCAAGTTTCCCCCCAAAACTGTTTTAGAAATGATAAAGCAAAGCTTGAGGGCAAAAGAAAACATGTCGTACTATACTGAAGTCTTAAAACTTAGGGATTCTAGAAGTGAGAATGTGGAAAAATTGCTGTTACTGTGACTTTGAGTAAGAATCAAGAAAAGGTGTCTCAGCGTTATATGAGAATTTAACCTCAGTCAAGCTTGCATCCAATGCAAGACTTGAGACAAGTATTTCTTTCTTCCTACCGTGTTTTCTACATTTTGTGCAAAATGCTTCCACACAAAATTAGCAAATTGTGAAAATAATCAAATTGAAAAAGCAGGCAAAATAGTGCAGGATGATTGATCACAAAAACACAGGTAACCCATGCAGTGCTAGTCTATGCAGCAAGCTGAAAATTAATTTCAGTGTTGTGTAGTTTACAGAAATATGCAAATATATAAGTTGAAACTACACAAAATCCCCACAAGACCAAAAATCATTTTTAAAAAAAGAAAAGAAAAAAGAAAAGGCAAAATTTCCAAGCAAAATAAACTAATCTGTACCTCCTATAAAAAAAGAGAAAAGAAAAAAGAAAAAGCAAAATTTCAAAGCAAAATAAACTAATCTGTACCTCCTATACCTCCTATACATGTATGCATACAGAGCGCCGTTCAGTTCAACGTGAGACATTTAGACAGGCATTTAACTCAGAGCTGCTAAAATCAGTGGGACTTAAATATTTGTCGATTGGATTGTGTCTACTCAGAGTAATGTGTGGATCAGATTACAGCTATCCTCTTATTTCTCATGTCCCATTTATATATATGCATGCAGATTGCATTCGCTTCACCCCATCTGTGTACATGTATGCACACAGAGCGCCTTTCAGTTCAATGTGAGACATTTAGCCAGGCACTTAACTCAGAGCTGCTAAAATCAATGGGACTTAAACATTTGTCGATTGGATTGTGTCTACTCAGAGATAAATGTTCTCTGAGAAAGTCACTCCCATTTGTACTCTAGAAAGAGATATTCAGAGACAGGAAATGTTTACTAGACTATCTTGGCCAACATGTCCATTGACTATACTGTACTGAATTGGATATCCTGGGAGTTATATTTTTTTAAAAAAGTGATTTTCCCCAACTCTGCACATATGGTATCATCTGACACCATAACCCTTCAATATTCAATATAAGCCACAAGTCTAGAGAGGTAGAAGCTGTCCCACTGTCTGAGATACAGGTGCATAGACTCATAGCTCGGTGGCTTAGGTCTCTGACTGCTGAGCCAAAGATTGTGAGTTCGGTTCCCTACTGTGCCTCCTTAACAAGGATTGGGCTTGATGATCTACAGGGGCCTTTCCAGTTCTAAGATGATGATGAAGCAGCCACATTGTCCTCCTTGCTCTGAAATGGGCTACAACAATGGGGGCAGGCAGCAGCCTTTTCTAAAGAGTATGGACCTGTCCACACTGGGAAATTCAGTGCAGTCCAGTTCCTGCTAAAAAGGTTCTTCTCTTAAGTGCAATCTATTATTAACTCTCAATCTTTTTGTCCACACTGGAGATCGTGCTACGAATCCATACAAAGCAAGGTTTACTTGGTTTACTTGTGAGTAAGGAGGCAGCAGCAACAGTAGCAAAAGACAGCTGCATTATAAGGGAGGACTATGAGGGTGAAGGTTGGGGAGACAGAAGGGAGGCTAACCTCCCCCCACCCCATTTTTCAGCTTTTCTCTTCAGCTAGGGCTCTCCTGGGGCTGTGCTGCTTTGTGGGGAAGAGCCTAAGGAGACAACATAGCCTCCTTCCCTGCCTTTTCCCTCAGATCTAATTCAGGAGGCTGAGGTGACTGCCCTTTGTTTGTTTGTTAAAAGATTAAATGATGTATTGAATAAAAGAATATGAAAACAGAGGAGGGGGTTTCTCTACTCTCCCTGCTACAACCCACCTAATACATCAGAGGGTTGTCTTCTCAGTTATCGCTGCCCCTGGTGTCATTTTGGTGAATGTACCAGTCTGCAAAGACCAGTCCAAACAAATGACTATTTTGCTTCTCAATAAATTGTGCCAAAAAGATGGCATGCTCTAGCGCTGTGCCAGTTGGGTGCAAGACAGCTCTTAAAGGAGAAGGATGGATCAATCGAAGTTAGAAATGCAAGTGGGTGAGGTCTTTTTCATGCCAACGAGTACCATCAGGTTTTCATATATCATAACTACAGTATATGCTGGTGTGGACAGGCTCTAAGGTTCTTTGAAACAAGGGAGGGGAGGTCTTCCCAACAAGAGGAGAGGTTGGTTCATTGTTCTTTTCACTCTGCTGCCTGAGATGAATGTTTCACCCTGTCTAATGGGAGGGCCTGAAAGTTGGTCTGTCCCTAAAAGAATAAATGAACAGAAATCTGACATCAGTTCCAGCAATGCTGAAGAAGCAGAAATGTCAACAAACACTCTGAAACTGGCCTCAAGGTGACAATGAATGAATAAGGGAACTTCACAGCATGAAACTCTTGAATTACAGCACAGCAAGAGTATTACTTGTGGCTTGTAGTAGAAGACAAGATTGTTTCTGTTAAATCACCAACTATTTTGTGAAGGTCCATTGTTAATAACATAATTGTCACTTTATACATTTCATTTCCATGTAACCTCACTGTTTATACTCACCAATCCTGAACCACTCACATGTACTTGTAGGATGGATTTGAAATTTGTGCATGTTTTAGTGCAGAGAAAAGTATGGGGAGATATGCCCATTCTTAGCCCCTCCCTTGGAAAGGAAAAATGATCATTCTGGTTGCTTCTTGGTTAACAGACAGACCCAAAAAAGGCCCTTTATCTACATGGCTTTATTCCTTTATATGTACAACACTGAGCTCTGTCTCCACATGTCTGCCTTTGGAGAGCAGAAAGTAGAGGAGAGAGGAGAGGAAGTCACAAAGGAAGCAACAGAAAGGAAGGACATGTCCCAGAGATTCTGAGGCAAAGAGGGAAAAGACTTTAAGGGCAGATGCAATGGTGCTGCCCACAGAGACCCAGTGTTAAAGGAGAAGCATGCAAGGTTGCATTTTTCTCAACATAACTCAGGATTCATATTTTATCCATTTCATAAATGGACTCCATGTAGTCCTATGCTGTAATACTCTGGGAGTTCTTTAATTTGCCAGGAGACCCCTTTCCATTTATCAGCATTTTTGCATTCTTCCTGCAACTTATTAACACACAAAAACAGTAAGCTGGGGTTACTTTTTTTTTCTTACACAAAATAGTGACATTGAGTGTGTTACAACAAATACCTTAACCCTGGAGAAAACTAGAAAGAAACACACTAAAGCTGCTTTGAAGCCAGATACCTTTGACTTGGCAAGAACAGAGGCGTAGAGAAGTTTTTAAAACATTTTCTTTTTTATCTTCAGGGCAAGGCATTGCGTGACAACTGACTGCAGCTGAAAGGCATGGCAGAGTTAAAGCTCGGTTATTAGGTTTTAACAGCTGGACTTAGATTCTAAGTATAGAAGGAGAATCTGTGTTACTTTCTATCTTTATGTGTTCATCAGTATCAAAGCCATGTCAGCAGTTCATTTCTTTTTCAGAAAATAAACTCATCAGCCAACCTACTCTTTAGGCTTACATCTAAAAAAATACAAGTTCTGTGGTCAGGGTCAAGCAGGTTGTACAGAGCAGGGGTGGGGAACGATGGGCAAGCTAAAGGCTTTGGACTACAAATCCCAGAATCATTTTACCATAGGCCATAGCGGCTGGGGCAACTGGGACATGACGTCTAAAACATCTGGTGGGCCAAAGGTTCTCCATTCCTAGCATAGTGAGTCCAGATTGAAAAAGTATTTGGAGGTAATAGCTCTCCAAATCTAAGCCAACCACTAGTCTTATTGACTGGGTGATTTTATTTAGGCTTACATCTAAAAAATACAAGTTCAGTGGTCAGGGTCAAGCAGGTTGTACGGAGCAGGGGTGGGGAACGATGGGCAAGCCAAAGGCTTTGGACTACAAATCCCAGAATCATTTTACCATAGGCCATAGCGGCTGGGGCAACTGGGACATGACGTCTAAAACATCTGGTGGGCCAAAGGTTCTCCATTCCTAGCATAGTGAGTCCAGATTGAAAAAGTATTTGGAGGTAATAGCTCTCCAA